TTTTTGAACAAACTGAAAAATATGACCCATAAAAATATATAAAAATATCTTTGCAGTAACAGAACAGAATAAATTGATGTTTTCTACACTCCTAGACACTATAACTGCACAAAAAATAGTTTATAAAGGCAAAAAAAGTGCATTTAGCATGATATGTCTCCTTTAACACCTCAAAGTGCGAGCATTTTAAAAAAAGCCTTGGCAGGAAATTACAAACTGTGAAAGGCAAAAAGAGACATCTACAGAGTCATTAGTAGGGCAACACAGAGAATACATATGTGGTAAAACACGGGTCATAAAAAACACTGAAACAACAACGCTCATAACCTTTTTTTATATACATTTTGACAACTTTGCAAAAACTAATATTTCTGCCGACAAAAAGTGTGTTTTTCTTTTCGGTTCAGAGTTTTCCTGTAGGAAAATGCTTCACGTTAATAGATGCTTTTCTTTAACTGTAATTAATATTCAGACTTTACTCATACAAAACAAATTCAGTGGAAAAATAATGATCAAAGCTATACAAGTATATTTGTCTAGCAACACAGAAACTATTTCTTTTTCCCTTCTTCAGGAAAAAAAAGTGTGCTTTTAAGAGTCAGCTGTGGTCCAACCCACAATACCCACAGAGTCTTTTATAAAAAAAAATATATGTTTTATTTTAAGTGTGCTGCTGTATGCCAGTGATTCAGAATGACACTATTGGACCTGTGCCCCCCCTTTGAAAAGTCCTGCTGCATCCACTCAGACTGGTCGAGGTCGGACAAAGTGAGTCACTGATGCCCAACAGCTTAAGAGTTGTCTTCCTCAGTTGAACCCTCTGAACTACTGACTGGGTGTGGTGGGACAGAGAGCGGCAATGTGTGGGGAGGGGGAAAGAAAAAGAAGTGAGCAGGAAACAAGAGGTGCCAGTAGGAAGTTGGACAAGAGGTGTTGTGATTGATTAGCTTATGATTATACACCCATATTAACAACACACTCATGTAGAACACACAGATTCTGCCAGAAGTTTCCCACTTTGTCCAACACAACAAAACCATTTTAACCAAAGATATTTGAGACGAGCAAAGGATCAACAATCTGTGCCTTACACCTCTGATTATTTGTATGTCTCCTTCTTTTACATTACATTTGTATCTTTAGGCTTGGCTAGGGATGGGTACCTTTGACGTTTGAATCGATTCGGTACCAATATCTGGTACCTGGGAATCGATACCGATAATTAACGGTACCAATTTTCGGTACTTTGTGTGTGTTGTTTTTTTTTCAGTAAAAACTTTTATTTATTTATTTTTATTTAATATATTTCTCAATATATAAAATTAACAAATATGAAGACAACATCCAACCCTTTGTATTGTAACATCAGTTGTGTAACTTATTTCTTTAAAGTGAAAACTCTTGAAAACAACAAGACTGTTTTGTCTTATTGTACAAATTAAAATCCAGCTCCACATGTTTCTATTGATGTCATTTCCCCGCTAGAAAATTGTGTGATGGAGGTCCATGGAAGGCAAACAAGTTTAAATCAAATAAGCAAAAGAGGATGGAGTTAAAATAAATAAAATGTATTCAAGCTATGTTTTGAGCATCCAAAACACGTCCAACACTTCAAGTTAGCTTCTTGTGTTCTTTCAGGTCCGACGTGTTCGGACTGTCGGCAAGTACCTCTGTTGTTTTCCTCTGCCGGTCTCTGTTTAATGGCGGATGAAATAAAGAAAGTGGCGGTACTTTATGTACTTTGAGCAAGCGAACATCGTGCTCACAAGATAATTATTCTACCAGATAATTCAGAGGCGGTCTGTTCGGTGAGTTTCACTCCAGGAGCTGTGAGGCTTTCAAGCTACGTTCAGACCGAACTCTGTTTACTGACTGAAGCAGCGGCTGCTGACATCATTATGCTTTTGCGCGATGCTGCGTTCAGGACAAGCATGGAAACCACGCCAAACCGGTCGCAATGATGCGTTTAGGTACCGAAACATGTTACCGTTTGATGTTACGTGAATAGATACTCTGTAGTACCGACAGAATTCAGTGTGTGCATAAAAAAGTATCGAATTCGGTACCCATCCCTAGGCTTGGCAATAAAACTGGAAAACACACTAATAGTTAACCTCTTGAGCACAATAAATTTTCATTGTTTTTGTTATTTTATATATATATAATATATATATATATAATGTGCAGGTACTTATTAAAACAAGTCTTGTCAGGCATGTGAGAAAAAAATAATCGATTTTTGCTACCTAAGATTTTTTACTTTTATTGATGATACCAAATGGCCCATCCTGTAAAGAATGACAATTCCAAGTTATTTCTTTACTAAAATCTCTGAAACTTTGCTCTACTTTATTTTAGTAGCGTAAAGCTTTGCACAGGTAATGTCCACATGTGGATACATGATTTTCAAGAGTTTTTAGCCTTATTCATTATATCTTTAAAAAGGTTATATACTGTAATGCAAAAAAAATAACAATAAGTTGAGTGAAAAACACATCATAATTTACTTATGTTCCTTCCTCACTATCACTGAAACAACAGCAGCTGTTTTGATACTTAAATTTCTGATGAAATCTCCCAAGTGTTAGCTTTATACCAAGAATATTAAATTGCAATGTGTAAACGCTGACATACACTGTTACATTTTGGCACATTATTTCAAGTGCAAACTTCTAGGAAAACCCCTTGGCGCTGAAGAGGTACACTTTATTGCCACCCATCAGAATCAGGTGTTTGAATCACTTCCATGGCCACAGGTGTATAAAATCAAGCACCTAGGCACGCAGACAGTTTTTACAAACATTTGTGAAAGAATGGGTCACTCTCAGGAGCTCAGTGAATTCCAGCGTGTAACTGTGATTGGATGCCACCTGTGCAACAAATCCATTCGTGAAATTTCATCGCTCCTGAATATTCCACAGCCAACTGTCAAATGTATTAAAAGAAAATAGAAGTGTTTGGGAACGACAGTAATTCAGTGGCAAAGTGGTAGGCCACACAAACTGACGGAACGGGGTCAGCGGATGCTGAAGAGCATAGTGCGAAGAGGTCGCCAACTTTCTGCAGAGTCAATCACTGCAGACCTCCCAACTTCGTGTGGCCTTCAGATTAGCTCAAGAACAATGTGCAGAGAGCTTCTTGGAATGGGTTTCCATGGTCGAGCAGCTGCATCCAAGCCATACATCACCAAGGGCAATGCAAAGCGTCGGATGCTGTAGAGCACGCCGTCACTAGACTCTAGAGCAGTGGAGTCATGTTCTCTGGAGTGATGAATCACACTTCTTCATCTGGCAATCAGTTGGATGAGTCTGGGTTTGGAGGTTGCCAGGAGAACAGTACTTGTCTGACTGCATTGTACCAAGTGTAAAGTTTGGTGGAGGGGGGATCATAGTGTGGGGTTGTTTTTTTCAGGAGCTGGGCCCCTTAGTTCCAGTTAAAGGAACTCTGAGTGCTTCAGCATACCAAGACATTTTGGGCAATTCCTTACTCCCAACTTTGTGGGAACAGTTTGGAGCTGACCCCTTCCTCTTCCAACATGACTCTGTACCAGAGCACAAAGCAAGGTCCATAAAGACATGGATGTCAGAGTCTGGTGTGGATGAAGTTGACTGACCTGAACAGAGTCCTGACCTCAACCTGATAGAAAACCTTTGGGATGAATTAGAGCAGAGCCTGAGAGCCAGGCCTTATGTCCAACATCAGTATGTGACCTCACAGATGTGCTTCTAGAAGTACATTTGTGAGGTCACATACTGATGTTGGACATAAGTATGTAACCTCACAAATGTACTTCTAGAAGAATGGTCAAAAATCCCCATAAACACTCCTAAGCCTTTCCTGAGGAGTTGAAGCTGTTTTATCTGCAAAAGATGAACCAACATTAAATTGAACCCTATGGATTAGAAATGATGTCACTAAAGCTCATAAGTGAGTCAAGGCAGGTGAGACAATACGTATAGCAATATGTCACAAGGCTACAAAAAATGTAGATGATTAGTTGATTGAAATTATCTGACACATACCTAAAGAAACCCTTAAATCCACAGTTTCTCAACAATTTGCATTTCACATAAATTACAGATTTTATGTTTTAGTTTTTATTTTTCCAAAATGTACAAACCCATAATGTGTTCTTGTCAATACTTACCAACAACATGAAGCTCTCTTCATTTTCAGGTTTGCCTTTTTTTAAATCATAGTTGTCATCCAAATAATTTTTTTGTTTTTTCCTTTTAGAGCAAAGAACAACCCAGCAGGGCCAAGTCTATTTCCTTCATACTCAGACTGGAGTCAGTACTTGGCATGATCCCCGGGTACCCAGGTACCTCCTTTTAATTTTGTGTTATATGTTTGTGATTTATATCTCATTATAAATTATAAAACTGTTTTAGCATACTTGTCATTGAAGTTTATGACCATGACTGTGCTGGATATTAAAATAACATTAAAGAGAGCTCCTCATTGTGTTTTACAGCATAATATATGACATGACATTTGCAATAAAAATTTAGACCAAACTGGATTTGACTGAATCAGATCAGGCTTAATGTCAACTAACTTCATTGCTGGTTTTGTTCTGAAAAACAGTCTTATCAGTCAAATGTTGTGGTCAGCTAACCTAATGGCCCTTGGTTCTGAGTTGAAATATTTTTGGGTAGATGTTGAACTGAAAAACAAGCCAGAGTTTCAGCATTACAGTAGTCTCAATGTTTTGTCAGCTTTCAATAGTTTGGTACTTGTTTCCCAAAACGAGACATGCCTTCACTACTACATTGCATTTTTTTAGGCATTTCTGAGCTCCTGCTTTGTGATGAATCATACAAGTATGACCTCCAGCTCCCAGCAACATCTGGGTTCAGTCATGTTGGGCAGAGCTGCTAAAATGACCCTGTGTTTGTAATGAGGCCTGCTTTTTCATTCCTGAGTGAACTCACTTCACACACAAAAGTAAAAGTTGTGGCATTGTCCCAGATCAGAACTTTGGCATCTGCTAATAGAAGCATACAGCAGAGAAAAAAAAGAGTTTAGATTGAAGGCTTATACCTAAAAGTGTTGATATTGTTTCAGATCAGCTTAGCAGTAATAAGTTAATGCAAAATGCATTACATTCTTCAATTGACAGTCACATTTCCATCCTATCAGTGAAGTGGTTTAGCACTCCGGTTTGTATACATGAGAAAAACATTCTGTTTATTTTCGTTCTCCTCTCAGGGATCTCAGTAATGTTAACTGTGAGGAGCTTGGTCCACTGCCACCAGGCTGGGAGATCAGGAACACTGCCACCGGCCGCGTCTACTTTGTCGACCACAACAACCGAACAACACAGTTCACAGACCCTCGATTGTCTGCTAACCTGCATCTAGTACTCAAGTAAGCAACTGGATTTGTTTTATATATATTAATATTTACTGGCTAAACAAGACGGTTCATATGCATGTTGGCGTAGTTGTTACTAGGGATGCAAGTTATTGACTGAGTCATAAGTGGCCTATTTCTTAAAAACGGATAAATATTTTATTTTGTATGAAGAGGGTATTTCCATAACATGAAGGGTTCTTATTAATATAATATGCAATGCAATACAATACAATACAATACAATACAATAAAACAAACATCCATTAGGTTGCTGAGTGTGGGGAAAAATATTAAAAGAACAAAGTTGTCTCTTCAGTGGGCCAGACAGAAGTCACCTGCAGGCCACCAGTTGAAAAACCCTTGACTACTGTGTTTCCTGCTTGCAACGTGCATCAATTTGGAGCATCATTTTAAGAAAAAAAAGGCTTATCAACACAATTTAAAGTGGTTTAAAGTCTACTTTTGGCTCACATTGAACAGAGTCTCAAAGAAGGTGTATCTTTCTGTTTCGTCTAAGCAGACGTCATCAGTTAATCAAATGGAAAAAAAATTCTTCTAATAAACGATTATTTGCCAGTTAAGTGAAAGTCGATTTTTTTGCTTGTATCCCTAGTTGTTACTTAATAATAATCATTAATCTACCTGAAATAAGTTTATGTGGTATGTCCACTGTTGACTGTCTTTTTTTTGTGTTTTATTTCTTTCTGCTGCTGTATTTTCTATATTCTGTCTTGGATCTTTCCTCTTTTTTATGATTTATTTTTTCTCTTTGTTCCTTTTTCTCATCTCATTACTGTTTTCAACGCTCCAATCCTTTTTCTCTTGTCATTCACGATTTTTGTGCATTTTTTTCTACCCTCTCGTTTTTACTGTCTTTTCTTATCTCCTCTTCTGTTTCCTCTTGCAGCCCAAGTCCAAATGGTTCCCGTGTGGCCATGGACATCCAAAACACTAACCTCAGGTAACCTTTACAAACACACACACACATGTTTATACAAGGAAAAACAGTGAAAGTTCACACAAAGGCGGGCAGATAAAGTATATCCCTGTGGATGCTTTGACATGGCCTGTAACATATGAACAATAAACTCTGCACACAGTTTGGTGGATGTGTTCGTACATAGCCTCTTACACGGATGTAAGTGCGTGTGTCGGTTTACATTTTCTGTCAGCAACCTGCCTTCACTGAAGATCAGTTCAGAGAAGCTGACCCCACTCGGAGAAATGCAAAACACGTGTTGGCACAGCAGCTGTTGGCTCACCATCAGTTCCTGTATTCTCTTCAAGGTGACAGTTGGTACAGAGACGAGTCTGACTAGAAAATATGTTCTCGTGTAAACAAGAACTGTACATGACATGACCACAATAAGGAAGTGTTTTTGGCTCTCTGGGAGGTCCGTGTGCCGTTTGGCTTCCAGTTTATGAAAGAGAAGTGATTAGAAGAAGAGGAGCACAGAAGTGCAGATTGTTTTCTATTTTTGCTTCTCTGCTGCAGGATCTTTGACAAAACTGTTTGCAGTGACAGTGTCTGGCAGGAAAACATGTTTGGGAAATCAGCATCTGGCACATTTGGTCAAATACTATCCACATGTGTCTGAACAGGCTCTGCTCGCGAGTTGAAGCTCAGCTTTGGTTTTCTGTCAGCTTCATTAACTGCTGGTCTAACTCCTTATTGAAAGAGTAGTGATGGAGTCCAGATGATGGTGCAGGACTCTGAGAAGGTCCAGATTAATAAGATGTGATTTTTATTGCAGCTTTTTCCAAGCATCTGCATTTAAACTAAACAGAGTGAAGTAGGGTTACAGCTCTTTTTTCTTTTATTTCAGTGTGATTATAGCAGATAAAGTCGAACTTCACGTGCCCAGTTAATAATCAGACATTTCGTTTTGGTTTTTAACATGTGAAGGCAATGACTGCAGTTCAGCCCATAAAACTTTTAATTTACTTAATATTTTAAAATGTCCCATATGTAAGAGAAAAACAATTACAATCCTTCCAAAATATGAGCTGATTTACTGTAAATGTTTTTACTTCTGTAATTAGAAACAGTCATTGTTGCTTCTAGTTAGATTCTATTAGTAAAGATGTGCAGAAAGGTCAGTTTTGTTTTTCTGTGTACTAGCCAGTCTGACTTTAGTCCTGAAATACAAAATACAGTTTATCTTGGTGAATGGGATCAACAGTACCATAGACAATGAAAATATATATGATTTAGCTATCCATAAATATATGCACATACAGTATATAAACATACACAAACATCGCCATATGTATAAGAAAACAATACAATAAATTATGAACTCATGTGAACTCTCTGTGGGTGTTGATTATGTAAAATGTGTCTTTTAAT